AATCGTTACGAGAATTCAAACCTTACAAAAATTCTCCAAATTTGGCGATTCATCCTACTTTTAGCATTCACCGTAGGCTATTATTATAGCTAGCTCTTTTAAGTTCGTTTCATGCAGCTATATTGAACGAAATGTACACCTTTCTCAAAATGTGACCTTGTAATAAATATAGTCTCTTTCAAATGAGGCGACTTATTAATCAAGGAATATTCATATCCTTGTAATGACAATAGGATGGAACAAGTTCAAAAGACGTATTATGTGATAGCTTTGTCATCTACGGAGTATGAGTAAATTTAACCACATGCACCAACCTATGTGGCTGGCCTGTTACGCTTTTTAATGCACATCTTTTTGGTTGAAACCCACACTTACGAAATTAGTGGTGATAATTGTTTAACTAATTTCATTGTATGTTGAAGTAGTATAATATGTATACTCCCTCTGTCCCTGACACAGTCAATTTTACACATGCCAATGCACTATTTTGACTTTATATATATATAATTAAATATTAATGAAAATTATTTTTAAAAACTATATTATGAAACTTTATATTAATACTTATCTAACATCATATTTATAATAATATATGTTTTTATTACGTTAATAAAAAAATTATGATCAAAGCTAATATATAAATAGTGAAAAAAGTCCAACGTTCCAGTTATTCTGGGACGAAAAGAGTATAATTGATCATGAGTAGTCGGACTAGATTTATTTGTATAATTAGATTGGGAAACCCCAGTTCAATTCGTATAATAGATTAAATTAAATTGTACAGAGTATTAGAGAAGGCGTGTTTTTATTTTCCGCCTCGATTTATGATGAGGAATTGAACAAGTTAGCTAGGACTACAAGTTTTACAACACACCTTAATTGAGAGCCTCCACAATGCTCAGGAGCAGCCAAATAGTACTGAAAAACACAGTGGCTCCTACGATGTACAATGTACAATGCAAGCAACAAACTTGTACAAACGAATCTAGTACATATATCCATTTTAACCTTTGTACAATTTTCGAAGGAAATCTTTTTGAGCTATCCCACCTTGCTTTGTTCCTTGTAATCTTCAAATTGAAACAATTACATAAGGACTTTTTGTTATTGTTTTTGGTTTTCAATTTTTTGTTTTTTTTTTAAAATAAAAAACAAAAACAGGAATCAAGAAAAAAGTGTTTTTACTTTTTTAATGTCAATTTTCAAAATAATCATGATTTTAATAAGTTTGACTAATTTTTAATTCATTATATAATTTTGAAAAACAAAAAACCAAAAGGTAGAAAACCACATCAATGCCAAACGAACTCTAACTTTTTAATTTGCTATACCATATAAAGTTAGCATGTTTTATTTGCAAACGTTAACACACAAGTTTTACCATCAATGAAATTTAACTACAAATCATTTAAAAATCATAAGAACTTGATGTGTCAACAAATGGAATAATCTGCTGTTGTCAAAAAAAAAAAAAAAAAAAAAAAAAAAAAAAAAAAAAACCTCATTATTTTGCCTTTCTGGGGCAAGCCCAAGTGCTAATTCATTATATTTGACTAATTTACGGGTTTTTTTTTTCTTTATGAATTTTTACTTTAGTAATAAGTTCACACACTCACCTTTCTTCAAATACTCAGCATTGAAAAAATGAATTTATGTTGATTTTTCTTTTTGGGCTCTTTGTTTGACTCGTCCCCTTGGGTCAATAATTAGCTAAGTTTTACTTTTTGTTGGATTATGTAAAATTAGGAGGAAGTGATTAATTAATGCAATAAACATCTTTCATCTAAAAATAGAAAACTCAATGCAATAAACATCATCATTTTACTTTAATTTGTTGACTCGGTAGTATTTTGAACAACATATTATTACTCACTTTATTTCTAAATCATGGTTAGGTTTTGTGAATTTACACAATCATTAAGAAAATGAAGATAGTGAAAAATAATGAATAAATGTAACATATATGAAATATTAAGTCAACATTGAAGATGGTAATATTTGCTTTGAGATAGGTAAATACTACAGGAATACTTGTTTTATTTGTAGATAAATGTTTTGATTTTAAATGGAAATAGTAAAATCTGTAACAGAAATACTCGTACTTAAATAGTACATAATCAACTAAGAAGGTAATTTTCCACCATGTATTTCTTTTTTGTAAATTAACATTATTTTACAAAAATATAATCAAGCTAAGGAGTTCTTTAAAATTCATTGTCATAGAGTGAATACTTATACCATGGAATTTACCCCCTCTCGTGAGGAGGTCATCCTAATGTTTTTTTATCTTATCTTCATAAAACGTAAAATAAAAAACTTATACCATGGAATTTTCATAAATATTAATAGAGCAACTGATGACAAACTAATTACATTTTCTAAGATCAAACGTAGTTAGAGATCATTTAATATTGCAAGTAAGTCCTTAACTACAAACATTGAAATTGCTCTTATAAAAATAATTTTCCTATTTTAGTACTTTTCTACTGTTATCCCCAAATTACCCAAAACTATACTATAAGTTACCGTATAAAAAAAAGTTATCGCTATATACACAATTCGCCATATAAATGTTGTTTTAATTTGATGCAATCCCTCAACGTCCTCAATTTAACCATTTCAATGACGGCTTATAAAAGTTTATTGTCAATTACTGTACAATAGAACCTTTTCTAATTAGCTAAATTCCAAATAAATCACCTGTGGTTCAAAGCTGTTCCCACCACGCTCCATTGAACTTTGACCATATGAAATCAAATTAATTTTTACAGTTGAAAATTTTGACATATTTAGAAACAACAAATAAATAAACAACTGAAGAAATTTCAAAATTTGTAATCTATACTCCAATTAATTCTTGTATTTATGCAAGGATTATTTAATTTTTCGGTGGTCATTTAGAACTCAAAACTTTAGGACAACTGTAATCTATATTTGGTAAATTAAATTACTAATGTCAAGGGAAAAAGAAAAGTACTGCACTAAATGTAGGAAAATTATACTTTGCATATTAATATGAGTAATGAAGCATATTTATTTGAATTTTCCCGTTAACTTACATACATAAAACGATAATATATAGTACGGGAAATTGATAATAAAGTGTACAAATTTAGGGTGATTTGGTATATAATCACCTAAGTACTTTTACCTAAAGGAGAAAATTGTGCATGAAATTAAACTTTCGGTGAATAGCTCCAGTATAACCTCAGTTAAAACTCGTTTTAGTCTTTGTTATTAAATTGATGATGAATCATTTTTTAAACAAATTTTAACGATTGTTTAATAAATGAGCTTGAACATACACAAATATAGAGATGTTCTTTGGTGTATGATCATGAAGAATTATTTGTGGATAATAAACAACTTGTTGGTTTATGGTCATGGATACAAAAAAGACTATACTCACTTTTATTTTTTGAAGAATATACTCACTTATTTTTGTTTTAATGATTGTTTAGATCTTGTAAAGTTTTTTTATTTTCATAAATATATTTTAATATTTTATGAATTACTAGCATGTCTTTCAAATCACAAGTATCAATTTACATTTCTTTATACGAAGAAGTAATTTATTTTCTTTAGTGCATGGAGCTATAGACCCAGCCTATAGTATACATTAGAAGACCTTTGTGGAATGGAACGATCGAGTAACGATTGCAATCATGCACAATCAAGATATTTATAAATTCAAAGGTAGAATTTCTAAAGACCCTTGGAATTATTATAATAAACAAAGTATCTTGGATCTTGTTGATGTACTCTTTGAATACTAGGATTATAAACAAAGTATCTTGGATATTCTTGATGAAATACTAGCTAAGGTTGTTGCTTTTAATAAAGAAAGCGAACCTTTTATTAGTTTGGTTCAATTCATTTTTGTAAACTTTCATTTCAATGACAAAAAAGAGGATTGAATTAGTCAAAAAAACCACAACCAAGATAAGGAACTCCTATCTCGATCTTTGCTCGACATTACACATCAATTAACTAGAAATTTTAAAAGTCAAAATTTCTAGTTATAAAATCACATAGCCACCGAATTTCTACTACTCCTTAGCCATTAATGTGAACGACAACGAAATATAATTAAACTATATTCCGCTAGCAAATAATATTCATCACATACACTCTCAAATCTCAATACAATATAGAATTGATATGTAATTGATAATCATATCATATGACGTATAAATAAACAATGTTAGCTATCTCACCAACCCCAAATAAACTGTACATATTCATTTTCTAATCATAAATTACGCGATGGTCAATACACACATCTATAAAAGCGGATTTCCTCCGCCCCATGGGAGAGGTCTTCAATTCCATCGACTACAATAGAGATAGAAGAGCGTTATAGTCGTAGAAATGTCATGCAAGGTGCATGGGGGTGGAAGAAACAATAAAATAGCATTTGACCATGATACTCTCATGACTACTATGAGTACTAGTGTAGTGTACTATTTCAGTAGTAATATAGTGAGTATAATAAGTGAATGAGTGAGCAGCAAAAGGCAGGTTTTGGGATCCCTAAAATAAAAATAAAACTCCTTTGAATTGGCCTTACCTTCAACATCCATGCACATTTCGTGACATTTGACCATTTTTCTTAACTGACATGCTGATCCCCCTCCTTCCTCTTTCTGTTATTCAAACAAACCTCTATTCTTGTAGACCCCACTAGTTTTTTTTTTTTTTTTTTTTTTGGGTAACATAACTATAATTATATTTTGTAAAATGAAAATGGATAAAGTAAGAAATATAAAATGTGGGAATCACATTTTTGTCTTGCTAAAAAATTTGATCTAAAATAAATACTTGCTTTTATTAATTATATCCGTTTTTGCATTTTTTTTAAATTAAAAAAACAATTAAGACAATTCTTAAGAGACTGTCTTACATGAATATTCAAGTAGCATGCGTTACATATATAAAAATTATAAATGATGAACAAAGTAAAGTTTATAAATAATGCCAAAAAATCAAAAGGTACAAACTTATAGAAATGGAGGTATTGATATTTGATAACATGCAATATCAACTTTTTTTTGGTTAATCAATTACTTCAATCAGATTCACATTACATTGTCCCCTACTATGAACAACCAAATGAGGAGGTTTAATAAAACTTGCTAATTTACTAAAATACTAAAAGTATACTACTAGTAGTTATTAATTAACAATAAACAAGCAAACTTAATTAAGATGCCTAATTGATCTCTCCTATAAGTCAGAATAATAATAATCAATTAGCCACACTTTGACCAAGTCCTTGAGGCTTAATATCTTCTTGATCACCATAACCACAATTCGGGTTCATCATCACTTCTTGCATCAACCCGAACCCTAACTCGGCGAAAAACAGGTCATCCTCCAAACTCGATCCATAAACAGCAGACGACGATCCGGATACACTAGAACCTTCCTCCGGAGGGCCCACATTCTCATGAACCGTGAGGGCGGAGCTAGATTGGTGAAGCGGGTACTGACCGGATGAGTAATTCGGGCTAGGAACCGGGTTAAATGGGTTATCCATATTCGACAAATTGGCATAATTAGGCAGTAATGCCATAGGAGAAGTAGTTGTGCTACAATGTGCCAACAAATTTGAAAAGCTAGGCATTGGAACATACATATGATTATGATTATGATTATGATCATGATTAAAGCTATGATCAGTATCAACATAGCTAGGTGTAGGAGAAGGTGAAGATGAAGGAGTTGAAGAAGATTTAGGAGCTTGAAAAATGGTGTGATTATTGTTAAAAATATTGTTGTTATAAGTAAAAGGAACATCAATTTTTGGGATATTAGAAGGGTTGAATTTGTTAATATTGTTGTTGCTTCCACCAAAAAGCTTCTTCTTAAGCTTAGTATTCCAATGATTCTTCACATCATTATCTGTCCTTCCTGGTAGATTGGCAGCTATCACAGACCACCTACCCAAAATCATATCATTAACCCATTATTTTCCATCATTAAACGAGTACTTATCCATCCATCATCCGAAACTAATAGTCACGTAATCATGTCCATACTCGATAAGATACTGTATTACAAGTATAGAGTGACAACTAAATTCGGATGGAAGGACGAAAAGAAGTAAAATACTACTACTAACAATAACACAGACAAAAAACTTTGATCACAAAAGATTTTATCACTATAATTTAAACTTGGTATTCTACACAAGTTGTCACCTTTATATGAAAACAACTAGAGGGTCATAAAATTTATTCTAATAAATTAATCCATATAAAACACAGACTTGAAGTTAAATTATTCAACTTGATGGTACCAATTAGTCAATATTTAAATTCAGTTAGTCAATAATTATATAAATTATTAAGTAATTTACAAGTAAAGAAATGTTTTTTTTTTTATTGAAGGAGAAAATGAACTTGCCTGCTCCCCATTTTGTAGAAAAGAGAGATTATGATGTTATCTTCTTCTTCACTGAAAGCTCCATGTTTTATGTCTGGCCTTAGATAATTTAACCACCTTAATCTGCAACTCTTTCCACACCTCTTTAAACCTACCAAAATTGTAAAACCAACAATTAAAAATTCAATCTTTAGCTAATTAATCATAGTAATTAGTTTAGTCTACTCTATTAATTGTAAAATTATTGCATGGGTATGAAATTCATGCCAGAAAATAGGCCAAAATTATGGATAAAAACAGTGAACATGCAACTGGGTATATATCAATCTGACCAAAAGAATAACAAAAATTTGATCTTTTTGTTTATTTTTCACACTGAATGATGATAATTATTAAATGGGTATATGATTTTTTTTTATTTTTTTTTTTCAAAAGTAAAGTCAGAAAACAATTCTCTGGGTTAATCAAAATTTTCCAAAAAAAATTAATAGGTATGAGAGAAATGAAATGAAACAGTATATTTTATCAAAAAAGATCAAATTTTTCGGAATAAAAATCAAAATTATGAAAGAATAAAATGTGGGGTTTCAGATAAAAACAATAAATAAAAATTACCAGCTCTTTGAGGGAGAGAAATCCAGTTACCACCAGTGCCATTTTTATGAAGATAATTCTTCAAAGTGGCGTCTTCTTCAGGAGACCAGGGCCCTCTTTTCACATTTGCTTTATCACAGCAAGGTGCTCTTCCCATTTTCCAATAAAAAACAGAAAAGGCCCCAAAAAACAGAGTAAAAAAACAGAGAAAAAAACAGAGGATTTTAAGATTTCAGAAAAAGCTCTGAAATTTGAAGAGAAAAAAGTGAATTTTTCAGGATTTTAGAGAGAGAAAATAAAAGGGTGTACAAATAATGCTTAGAACTTGGAAGCTAAGGAAAAAAGAAGAGAGAGAATGGGGAGAAAAGGAGGTAATTGGTGAGGTTTAAGGGTTTGTTTGGATTTTGGGTTTTATAAATGTAACAGTGGTCTTGACTTCAATATGACTTTGGTTTTTATGACTTTATGAAAAAGAAATAAAGAATTTGAAGTGTGTATTATTGGTGTTTGTTTTGTTTATTTATTCCTTTTTTTTCCCTCCTTTTTCATTTTGTAGGGATTAACCTAGTCAAACTATTGCAACACATGTAATTTGCTTTTCTTACTATGATGAAAGCCCCAAAATAAAGGAGGAAGGAGGGAGGAGAGGGGGTTGGGGCCTTCAGGGTGAGGATATCATGATTTTGTTAATATACTTTATTAATTTATCTGTAGTTAATAGTCACGTCAATTATTTTAAATGATTTAAAAAAAATTATAAATTATCGTTTTATAATATCGTTGGAGTAGGTTATTATTGTAAACTCCGTAATAAAGCTTTTAATCACAGGAAACCTAGCTGATAATGCATTAATATGTGAGGGTAAGGGGAGGAGATTTGTCACTAATGAGAATCGAACCTCGCACCTTGAGGATACGAGGTGACCTCCTAGGCCAGTGTATAAGGAGGTCTCTCTCTCGGTAATACAAGTATGTAGTAGTGGTGTATGATTAGATTTTTTTAATGGGCTACTATTTACTTTCAATTATAGAAAAATGATATTGGGAGTAACTTACTATGAAAATACATTACCTAATGGATAGTTTGGTCTAGTTTGTTTTCTTTTTCTATTAGCTAGGGTGGGGTGAATGGTGATCCAATGCTCAATATATAAATTTAGCCTTTCCAAATTGTCTCAACTATTATAAAAGAAATTCTTCCAAAATAATGGCATATCTTTGCTTAAGATGGATTGAAATGTTGTCATTGAATTATAGCATAAACGTATAACAAATAGACACTTTTCATTTTTTTTACAGATTTATGCATCATAAATCAAACAAAATACGAGCTCCATAAATATTGCAAATAGTGGAAGTGACCTATTATTAGCAACATTTACAATACTGATGATACACTTCCTATAAATTAAGAAAACTATCCTCAATTTTAATTCATTATATGATTTATATCTTTGCCTTCTTGCCCTATACCCTCAAGGGGCATCAACCTACATTACTATCCTTAATCTTAAGATGGTTTTTTTTTTTTTTTTTTTTTGGGGGGGGGGGGTTTGGGGTTTAAACAGTTATCTTCCTCATTGGTCACAAAGTTCGTAGCATCCTAAGATAAAGCACCGACCAATCTCCCTGAAATATTTGGTAATGTGACTAATGTCGTATTGTCACTTGCTGCTATCTTGTGTGTATGAATTTGTTATTGTCGGAATTAATATTTATACATACGAAGTATATTCTCTGTTTCTTAAAAGTTGCAATTTTCTTACATTAAACCTATTATTTCTGTAATAAAAATAAAAAAAAATAAAAAAAATAAAAAAAAAAATCAATCACTAATGTACTTAAATTTCACACAAATAACCAAATCGTGTGGCAAGTCATAATGGGGATTACTTCGTTAGTATTATAGGAGCTACTCAATCAGTGTTCTGGAGTTACTTTATTAGTGTTACAGCGGTTACTCTGTCAACGTTCTAGGGGTTACTCCATCAGTGTTATATGGATAATTTTGTTCTTTTACAAGCGGCCACACGGTGTGACCAGTCGCACACAAAACGTGCTGTAAATTTCAATAAGTACTCGTAAAATTTATAAGAAATAATATAAATTTTGACACTCTGTATTTTGAAGATATACTATGAGAAAATCTAATAAAATCTCACATGACTATATTTTTCCTTAAATATGAATCATCATGTGTATTCAAGTATAATATACGAATAGTGTAAAGGTTTAAGTGTTGCACGCAATAATAAATTAATAACGAAATGCATATTTTTTTTTATTTTTTTGGTAATTTATGTTCTATGGATACATGCCTTCATTTAGATGGGTACATGATTTAGACAAGTAGACTAGGTTGTTATGTGCTCATCTCACCATGACATTGCATACACTTTAGAGCTTAGAATAAGAGCAAGATTTACCTTCTTTCGGTTTTTATATAAGGTCGCTTTTAAAGTGGTTTGTTCTCTAAAGGAGAAATTGCCCTATTTCCTGTTTCCTTTCATGCAACACTTCTTTATGTCATGTATATATACAACTAATACAAGTATGAATGTATGATGCATGGTTGTTTGGTTGATATTTTAAGGAAGTTTAAACTTCTGTATGAGAAAAAAAATTTAAGAAATTTTAATTCAAGGTTGTATATATACAAGAATTTTGATTTTATCTCTAATTAATTAAATCTCTAATAATATTAATCATAGAATGTACTTCCTCCATCTCCATTTGATTTTTTCATTTGGACTGTGTATCTTTGTCAATGCAACACTTTGACCATAAATATCGTTAGTTGCTTATAAGTGAAAAATATAACAATTGAATATTAATAATCTATTCATTGAGACGAATCAAATAAGACTCAACATGACTATGTTATGTCTTATATATTAAGAGAAATTTAGAAAATTCTTTCACCTTATTAATAGTGTCAAAATTACAAATAGAAAAATCAAATAGAGACAGAGGGAGTAATAACTAGCTAATTGATCTCAAAATATTTCATAGTGATGAGAGGGAAGAAAATATGTATAGTACCTTATTCATAATTAGTTAAGTGAGCATGCAAGAAATTCAATATGTAAAAATCATTAATAAATTTTGGATGGATAACTTTTTTTTTAATTACTCTTTGAGTTTTGACTTGGTCAACTCACCATCTAACTTAATTTCGGTCATAACTATGCACCAAAAAATAGAAAGAGCATTTGTATATATAGTAACCCTTTAAAAACAACGATTAACTAGGGCTCTTGGTGGAAGAAGAGAGTGAAGGAAGGAGATGGCTTTCCTAAATTTGCTTATGTTCACAAACCTTGGAGTGTTTATGAGACGAGATAACTTACAAGTCACTCAAACTCAACTCATTGAAAGGATCGATTCAAAATGTTGATTGGGGAGTTGAGTTGAACTACCCAAAATCTAAATTGAAAATTCACAGGAAGCTCGTAAAATCCATTATCATCAAGTATTTCATATTATTAAAGACAAAAAATCTAAATACAACATAAGATATGGATGTTATTGAGATAAGACTATTTATAATTTATAAGCTATAAGCTATATGAGATTGATTCAATCAAACAGTTCAGTCATCAATGCTTAATCAAAACTCAACTCATTTAAACTGATTTAATATATTAGTGAGTCGAGTCGAGCTGAGCCGGGCTACATGAACTCAACTTGCATCTTAAGCACCCTCGTCACAAAGCCAATAATACACTCCTTAAGCAAACTCTTAAATTAGTGATTGTTAAATACCCTTCTTTTGACTAATGATTTACACATAATTAACAAGCGGTTAGCAGTGTAGTACTCGAAACAGTCGAAAGAAGTACTGTAGTGTAATTGACAGCACAAATTCCGAATGAAAGTACATGTGATATTCTGGTGAGCGGCTCACCAAATTTGTAACGGTCCATTTTGTTGTGTAGGAGCCCAACGAAATTTCAATATTCTTACTAATCCTTACTTTTTGTGCTTTTTAACAATTAAATTATTATTATTACGAGAGTAATAATCAAACATTTGCAACCTATTTAAGTAACATTTTACTCTTCAAACTACACCGAAAATGATTGAGAAAAGATACTTTTACGATTGAGATTTGAGAGGGATTATGTACCACAAGATCTTGGTAATGACGGTCACATTTGGCATAAGAAATTAAGAACTACAATGTTGAAAATTAAGGGAATTAGTACTAAGAAATTGAAATTTGGCTAAAATATAGATCTTGTACGGACTACGGAGGCCAAGTATATAGTACCTTAATTAAAGCCCGGGTTTTAGATTCATTGGCTCTAATACCTTATTACAAGAAACTCACGGAGAAAGTCTTATTATTTGGGAATAAATAAATTTTTCCACCACTTTTATATGTCAGTCATCCTCCTTATTCTGTAATGTTGCACGAGTATTCTAAACTCACTTGTTGATTAATTTGATCTATTAGCAATTTAGCACTCTCTTATCTCACATGGAAAGCTTGATGAAAAGTTAGTTAGTGTCTCTATATTGTAATTGAAAGAACTCAGATTATGACAAAAGATACATAAAAAAACCACGTGCTTTAATTCTCACGCAGAAGATAGAGTGATTATAACTAATACTCCGTACAATAATGGAGTGCTTCGTTGCCTACTTACAAATCAACAAATGGATTTCCATTTACAACTTGTATGAATCAAATTCTTATCGAGTGCAAGGTCATTGAAAAATTTAAAATCACCCGTAATCCAACGTAGTAGTCAATAATATGCCCTCAATGACATTAGCTATTAGCTATTGTTAGGGTTATACACATAATCACATACCCAATCAAAGTGCACAGTACATTATTATCATTCTCTGATTAAATTGTGCAATTTGGCTCTATTATAAAAGAATATTACACTTTACATGTACCAATTTCTGACCCAAGAGATGACCCTGTTTTTTAAAATTGACAAGGTAATTCTTAATACAAACATTAAGAACACCCCTCCCCTAAAAAAAGAACATACTACTGCATGTTCTGCCAAGATTATGAACCTGCATACATCATCCACTGGTAACAAATTAAACCCACTTGTAAATTTTTTGAGGAAAAACCCACTTGTAAATTGTCCTTGTTAATTTAATAATGTAATATTACTATATCTTGAAGGAGTCAATATAGCAACAATATGATTATTAACGTTGGAGATATTTTCACTTATTTTTGTAAAAATAAGTTTAGATACATACGGTCGATAAATTCAAGACAAATAAGTCTAAATAAGCGAGTAATAAGAATTGCCTAAGTTAAAGTTATAATTTGTTCAATTTATATTATTTTTGATGAGTTCAATTAAGTTTAGCTGTTTAGATAATGAAAATAAGGTGAGTAGAACGCATCTAAGATATTGGGGATCATATGATTTATTTAATTGTCTCATTACTCTCATATACAAGTAAAATCACTATCATGACAATCAATTAGTACATCTATCTACATATGTTCCATAATTAATTGTAGAACACTTCATTTGTTATTTGACAAGTCCTGAAAAATCCAAATATCATTCAATTTTATTGATATGATAAAAGCATTGACAATCGTTATGCTTGTTTTTCATACGAAGTACTGTATATGCTAGGATAATTCCTTATTCATACTTTAATCTTTATGTCTAATTAATCGATAAATCATAATTTGCGTATCTGATTCAATGATAATTTGGTTGAATACTCTAGCTTCTTGATTATTATGCGTCTTCTAGTACATAT